CAAGCGGAGGATGGAGAAAGAGGGAGGTGCGTGATAAAAATGTAGAGTGCCGGAGGAGAAAGAAACAGCGTATGAAAGAAGAGAAAAAGTTTGTTCTTGACGGTTGGTACCTACGGCTACCATCTACCGCTTCCAGCCTCGAGGATCGTCCAGGACGCAGGGGGTAATAATATTATCTCGATGCTCCGCAGCTCGATGACTGCATCACGTATTAATGTACAGCAGAGCAGTGCCGTGCGGAGAAGCGCAAGCTGCCGCGCGTTCGTTTTTAATGCATCGTCCAGTTATTATTATTATTAGCGTCGCGCACATGAAAATTAGTAACGAATGGTCGCGTAGCGACGTGCGAGTTCGTTGTCGTCCGATGCAATGGGTTTGACATTTGTCTGCCATAGGTAAAGTTAGGTGGGACACACGTGCAGATCAGCTATGGTAACATCAACGTCAATGTCGAGCAGCATTCTTGGTTGAGAATCTCCCACCCGGTATATCCCTCTGATGGTTATAGGCTCGACTGTAGACTAATGATCCCAGTGGCTGCGGTTTTTGCCGACATTCTACAGCATTCCCATTCAACTGGATTCTGCTTCGAAGGCTCCACGGCATTATTTTACCTCTATATAAAGACCCATGACCGGTGGTACCCCGTCATCCAGCGTCATCCAGCGTCATCCAGCGTCATCCAGCGTCATCCAGCATCCCAGGAATTACAGACGAGGGCGAACTTCGCTCTGCTTACTTTGGTCTATTTATTAATTCAAGTCGATCCACGTACCGACGGAAGACGCTTGTCCCCTTCAGCCGAGCGATTATGGGCGTCACGGAGCCACTCGTCGACTCTCAGGAGATCACCTCGCGCGTCTTCTCTTCTTTATCCTCGACGTTGTCGCCCACTTTTCCTCGATCCTTCTCGATCAATTCGCACCCGCCGTTCGTTCATTAACATCTATTCTTCTACACTTACGACGGATGCAACCTAGAGTCCGATATACTCGGTTCGTCGTTACTTCGAAATCCTAAGATACGAGATAGCACTAGCGTGTATATGGAGTGCATATGGAGTATAACGCGTAAGACAGACCCTCATAATATTCTCCAGAAAAGGCTCAATTTTCTCCTGTGTAAACGTACTTCCGTGCCCTTCCTACGGCTGTGCTCTCGTGCAATCCAGGCTTCGGCCAGCAAAAACTTGAGACGACGGCTGCAGTGCATCGTTAGTGTTCTCTCTCCGTCCTCCTCCATTTCGTCCTCGGCGTTCTAGAGGAGGACGGAGCAGCATCCTCGTCGGCATCCTCCTCTCCGTTTCTCTTCTTTTTTTCCCTCCCTCTTTTTTAGCAACGGCTTCCAGCTTTCCGTAAATTCTCTCCTCTCGATCACCGTCACTCTCCAAAATTACGCTTCGCTCTCCGAATGCTTTCCCCGGGACTTCCGGTCGAGGATGGAAAGGCGCGATTTTCAAATGAACAACGAGAGAGGACCTCGCTCCGACTTTGGCGACTTTCACGGAACAGGAAGACTCTGGAGGGAGGGGGGAAGGCGCACTTATCCTAATCGGAGTATATTCACGCGTGTGCACGCACATGCGTGTATGGCGACGTGCGTGCCCGAATAGAGAAGGACGAGGAGAAAAAGTTACACGTGCCAGCCGAGTATTTTATTTACTCTCCTTCTCGAGCTACTCTCTTCTCCGTGGGATTAGCTTTCGGACGTGGAAAAGGAGATCCGGGTGAATTCGAGGGAGAGAAAGTCAAGGGAGGTTCGCATCGATTAACACGTGATTAATTCAGGGAGTTCAGGTAAAACGATCTTGTTTCCTGGGGTGGTTCCGGTAGCTGGCATAAATACCAAGGAATTTATGTACACGGCCGCTATGGAGTATACTGAACTCCTATAGGATCTCTGGGAGCGCAGGGCCAAAGCCTCGTTCCGTCGAGATTATTATTCGAGTTCCCACTGAAGCCGACGAGATTCTCGCCACATGTTCGCTTGCGCGGAGCCCCGAGAGATCTATGGGGTGTCAAACGCAGAGGGCTGCTGTTAGGACACCCTAAAACCGTCTCGTCGCGTCTCTCCCGAGTCTCTCCCGAGTCTCTCTCTTACGGAGCTCCATTCTCTTCTCCTCCCTTTCGTCGGTTTACTTCCTCGAGACGCGGCACTAGCTGACAATGAGCGAAGAAGGCTAAGTAGCCCACTCTCGAGGATGCCCGCTTTTTACCAATTCAAGGGACGAAGTCTCTTGCGACTCGGTCCTCCCCTCTGCCCCTGCCCCTTTCTTGGAGGCTGCTCACTCGACTTCACTGTGAGGTCGCATACGAGATGGATTTATAATCTCCGGGATACGAGGGACCGATGACTGGGGCTTTTTTTGAAATTTTCAAAAGGGCGCGAGCCGCACCCCTCCCGTCCGCGGCGATCCAAAATCCAAATGAAATTTCACGGTTCGCTCCTGGCCGCAGCCACTAACGACGTCCCGTAGGAGCCCGATGTGCAGCCATACACTGTGCTGTGTAAGTCTATAGTTATAGGCAGTATGTGGGGAGAGCAGGGAGAGCAGGGAGAGAGGACAGAAGACGAGGGATCCTTAATCATCATCATCCTCCCCCTTAGTAAGATGAATTGTGCATTTGTGCCCGAGCCTTGCACCCCTTTCTCAAAACTCCCTAACCGAAAAACAGTTAGGTTAGCCGAGGCGTCTCCGGGGTGCCGATGTCGAAAGGGGTTGCCGTAATAATAATAATATACGTGGCTTCGCTAAGGTCGAGCGCGCACCGAAAGTCCGTACTTGGAATATTTCAAAGGGACTTACAATGCACCCTTCGCAGCCTGTCCCAACAGATTACGCAAATATTCCCCTGACCCGCCATCCCCCATTATGGATGGAGTCCTTCGGTACTTCTTCCACAAGAGAAAAAAAAAAAACACTCGGTACGGTAATTTCTTGACATGAATTGTTTTATTGCAGCTTCGGGATCCTCCAATCCGTTTCCCATCAGGACGGTCGGACGCGAGCTCATCCTGGGCGCCTCGGCAGTCGCCCCTACCTGCCCCTACCTGCACCTAGCTGCTTCGTAGACTGCGTAATTACGAAACTGTCATTACCAAACTTTTGTGTAGGATTTTAAGTCCTAACAGCCCATTTAATCACTGTGCAGAGAAGGAGAGAGAGGGAGTCTGCCGGGATGCCGAGTACGTACGTGGTGCTGGACCACTGCTGGTGCCACAGCTTGGTCCGTTAGTTTTTTCAACGTCTGCGAGTCCCGCAGCCTTTAAAACGCTTCTCATCTCATCCGAAGCGGCGACTGCCCTGCGTAAGGACGTATGTGAGTACCATGTGTGGCCCAGGGGTAATGTCATTGGTTGATTTCTTGGTAGGTTGGTACGATGGATGCAGTGGTTGGTTGATCGGTTGAGCAGCAGGTGTGCATCAGGCATGTGTCTCGTCGCGACGCTAGACGTCCAGAGGGAGACGTGCGTTTCGCGGAATTGGAAATCGCTCGTCAGGTATTTACGTGCAAGAGCAACAGAGACAGGGAAATGTTTAAAAAAAAAAAAAAAAAGCAAGACTATAGCCAACTCTCACTTGCACAAGAACCAATCGGAAAGTAAGGATAGGTTGGTATCTCGGAGAACAATGCCGAATATAAGTTACGATTCTCGTCTCATCTGTCAGCCATGCTGCCTGCCTTCTTTCGCTCGTATATTATACATGTATATGTATAGGTAGACGGGAACGCTCGAGACGTTGCTCGTCGTAATTTCGATGGGTCGCCGGGAGCAAAAAAATATACGAGTCAAAGAGAAAGAGAGAAATGAAACGTATGACGGAGAGAAGTGGCCGAGCGTCGCTCTCGAAGTATCGCGAGAGATAAGGATACGTAGAGTCGACGGTGCGTGGAGAGCAGCTCGATAATGGCTGGGTGAGCCAGAAGGGTGATAACCGTGAAAAAGAGAGTGAGAGGGAATGAGCTCGGTTGAGAATCCGCACAGCTAATTACCAATGGTAGCAGGTAATTGTGTATTTGCTCGATGAAGCTTAGCTCGTTGAGGCACGTACGAGATTTTTACTCTGGCCGAAGTAACGAACAGGAGTAGAGGGGAGGGGGGATAAAAAAGGTGAAACAATCAACGTTGGTTTTGACATGCATCGATGCTCGAGAGTTACGCGGCTAAATTATCAAAATTGCGGCACCCTCGGGTCATGTCCGACATTACGTCATGTGCCTACCACGTTGGATACTTTCCAATAGCCCAAAAGAATTTATGCACGCCACAGGATCTTGCTTCGAGATGCAGTTGTCTCTTTCATAATTGGCAACACTTTGTTCTTGCGTGTATTACTCTTAGCTGCCACTTGGCTTTACAGCTGCGAGACAATTTCTTTTCTTTCTTAGGATCCATAATATAATATCGTTATTCCGATCCCCCACTTCACATCTTACTCATAGTTATATACTGTGTGAACTCGTTATTACGTGTACATCGAAGCGGCAAGCAGCCTTCGTTGGGAATGGATGTGAATTTGCACGTGGCCAATCAATTAGAATAGCAGAAATCTTGAAAAAGAAAATGCTTCAAGTTCAAAACGTGCTGACGCATTAACGCGTTTAATTTTCAAATAATCTTTTGTCACTGTTCAATGTATTTATGTTGATATTGGATATATGTGTGCCTCTATGGAGACTTTTATAATGTAGACAATATTTTAATTGGCTTCACATCCTAAATTAGTATCTAAGATAATTAATATTATTTAATGAGAAAAGAGTGTTTATGGATTAGCCAAGACATCGTTGGCGATCCTTGTCAATTACTAAATGTTTTTAATGAGAAACAAGTTGCCAATCCATATATCGAACTTTGACGTGTTGATTCAATGATTGCGTAAAAATATTTATCCGGAGTATCAAGGTTATCAAAAGTTCACAGGAATTACTTAATACATGTTTAGTGATAGTAAGAGAAAAGATATAAAAGCAACGTAGAGAAGTAGAGAGACTTACCTGACGAACAGCTGTTCCTGATTGTTCACCCTCCAAGACACCACGGTGGCTCCTGGAAATTCAAAAGTTTCAATGAGAGTTCGCACTCCTTTGTTAAGCAAAGATTATGGAATGAATAAATTTGGTTCGATTGGTTATCATTAATTCTCTCGCTAGCAATATCGTCAAACTTTTAAACCGTGCACCGATAGCGCCAAGTTACGAGAGAAAAATAAAATACAACAAACTTTCGACAATACGTTTATAGTTAAAGTAAAATAGCTGCAAAAATGATTCTTCAATCGGAAACGATTTTTTCTATTTTGGAAGGACTCGCTATCGTAAAGCGATCAAACTTGAATTCACATAATAAACTTCACAGACACGCGTTCTCTGAACTGTTAAACTTGAGGTATACATGTGTTAGACGTGGGAAAACACACCGGATATAAAAACTTCACACGAAATAGCGAAATCCAAGCCAGGAACCCAAAGGAGCAGCGCACGTCAAGATGTAACTAAAACTTAATGACACGCATCAATCTTCCTGTAGGTCAGCGAATGTCCGTTCCCGAACCGTTTTTCTTTATCTTTTTTGACTCGTAAATGACAGAGCAAAAAACATAGCCTGCAAGATAACGCACGAAGAGTCCGGCCTCTGGCCAGGGAAGCGATAACACGTTCGGGCGGGGTAGCGTGGGTACTTTTTTTTTTTTTACTACGTGCGAAGAACCTCTCCCGGGGGTTTGGCGTTGGATATTCGCTTTTGCACGCGCACACACCGTGTAAATTGATCGTGCAGGTGGTATTGTTGCCCCTGTCGAGCACGACAACGCTGGTAGCCGCTGCCATGTTTGAATCGTGAATGCGCTGCCGGTTAGCGACGCAGCCAACCTTTGTTCAATGCCCCCGGGCTTACCCCACCATGTCAGTATTCAACCCCACTCTTGGCTACTGGAAGGTCTCAGGTGGTGCCATCTTCAACTAAATCCATGAAACCTCTACGGAGGCTCCAGTTCTGATGTCAATCACAAGTAGTCTATGAATACCGGAGAGACAGGATATGGAGAAAATTGCGTCCGTTATCAATAGACTTACCGACTGGATTATCTGAAATTTTACACCATTTCAATTCCTGGAATGCGATTCGTATTCGATGCTTCCGCGGTTACTAGTGATCTACTGCTTGCACGGTAGATATGCTACGTTAGATAAAACAGTTTTCACCTCGGCAGGAGTTCACTAGGCACTTTCATCAGAAGCATGAAAGCACAAAGGACAGGCACAGTCCGATCGAGGCTGAATGTGGTCTGATGGTGAGAATTGTCGCTACGAGGCGCTTTTAAACTTTGCGCCATTCAGTATCGAATGTGTCAACGTTGCGCAGTAGCCTAACTGGGCCGAACTGGCATCGTTCTGCACTTTTGGAACGCTGGAGAAACCTGGCAACCACGGACGTACATAGGTACCGAAGGTTGATGGACGCGGCGTAGAGAGGAGAGAAGAAAACGACGAGCGAATCAGCGAACGGGACAGACCAGAAGAAGAGACCAGGAGAAACAGAACGCTTAGACAGAGAGCAGAGAGAGCAGAGAGCTCCGTGTTCCGCTCGGTGATGTACCGTTGTTTTTTCTTCTTCGTTCGCCGAGGAACAGCGCCGAAATTACACAGAAATCGCCTGTCGACGGGCGCCGCGGATTGAACCTAATTATTGGCGGACAGTGTGTGGTGCTGTGGGCTAAGGGATGAGGGCCGGGCGGATAATTCAGGTGGCGATTTGAGGGCAGAAATGTTGAAGTTTGGCAGTAAGAGCGACGTTACGGTGGTGCATCGCGCCACTATTCGACTACTCGACGACACCGAAATTATCCACTGTGACTTTCAGGTGAGCCGGTTAACCCTTCCATATACTTTAACGCTAGATCCTGCATCCCCTGCTCCATCTTGGCTATTAGCCACTAATTTCATCTTCCCTCTTGTATACCTGGAGGAGATACGTTATACTCTCTGTCATTCCTCAAATCTTTAATCAACCTCTGTATAATTGTTCTTATTGTTTAATTCACACTCAGCTTCATTCCGTCTGTGCTGACAGCAACGATGCAGGATCAATGTCAGTTTCTGTGAACGTTTTATTTCTGGTAGAGATATAAAAGAGCCTTTTTGTATCCTATCCATCGCGTGAATTCCATTTCTCAGGAATTTAATGTCAATCTCTCGTAACTACTCGTGGTCGTATAACGTTAACGGATCTAACATTTGTATTGAAGAAGAACGCGTGTCTTATCAACCAGAAACGCGTTCCATTTGATCTTTTGGTTTTCCCAACCCACCATTTTTTAAATATTTAATTCAGTGTCTCATCGCGTCACCGTAATTCTCGTAGCTGACAAAAATACGTAACTTCTGCTGATGTCATCAGATTGGATAGTCAGTAGAATTTTGCCTAGATTGCTTCTGAATCAACGAAACAGTACACACAGTCACCTCTTCCCTTCCATCAGCCATTAGGCTACAAAGCATCGACCTTATCCTTCACTTTCGTTTCACCTTGAGACTCTCCTTGGCGAGATTGGCCTCGCGGGTTGCCACACCAGGAAGCTGACACAGAGATACCCTCCTCGTGCCTCTTATCACAACGGAGAGTCTTCTGGTTATCGTTCACCATGACTATCGGGTTTTCGAATTCCCAGGAGGCATTAGAAAATCGAATGATGGCCGCTCTCCTCACGGACATTACTCACTTGCTGATTTCCTCCAATACTTTTTTTCTGTACTTCGCGCAAGGGAGAATGATCGATAGTTTCCCTTCTGCCGAATTTGACGATCGATCGAGTTACTAACAGGGTCGATTCACTCTCTCGCTCTGACTTTCACTCTCTTTTACTTCCACTTCCGCAAGGATAGTTTGACAGGAGAATTCGTACGGGTCCTTTGAATTGACAAAGAGAAGTCCAATAATTGACAATAGGTCTCCTCCATCCTGTCGCCCCTCGTCATCCAATCTTTCTCTGTATCCTGACAATTTCTGTCAGACTTCGTAATACTCAAGTTTATGGTAGATCCATGTATATCATCAGAGCACACCACTTGTTTTTTAGTCTATATTGTATATACATATGTACCTTTCCATTTTAAAATTTTGCATTTTACATAATACAAGGATATGTATGACAAAGAGTTCTTATATACCAACCAGCATTAAAGTGCTTGTGGAATAATTATTTTTTTTGTCTTTTCCATTTTTATTATAAATTGATGCCCGCGTGCACTGCTATGTGGCTGTGTGTATCTGCGTACAGCGTTGATCGTGAAGAAAAAAGCGAAATGAATAAAAAAAGGAGCTCCTAACATTTCCTCTCATACATCAGTAAACGACGAATTTGACAGCAATTCACGGTGTATATTTTTCGAAATTGATTGCTTGGTCCGAGTGTCTCTTTAGCCAGCCGACTGTTTTTCACTGAAAGTTTCTCTTTGGTTTCTCTCGTATTCCTTTATCATTAAGTATCCGCTCTTCTTCTTTCTCTGCAATTTCTTCCTGTCACGGTAGCAGGGGATATAATGACCGTAAAACCGATGTAGTAGTCCCGATGCTATACCATCAACCTTCGGATACAGGGACGGTATCAATTACGTTGAAAAATGTTTTTAAAAAACGACAAAAAGAAATAGCAGTATTTCCCCATATAGGAGTATCGATCGTGATAATGACAAAAATACAGAAATACTGATATGCATTAGCGCGACTGAGACGTAATTATTCGTCGACAGTCTCAAGCACTTTGCTCTTCTTTTCATCGGATGAAATGCGAGAATTTATTGGAACGTTGAAATATTTTCTATCGAGGATACGAGTACCCAGATGGTTCAGATTTCCATTACTCCGGGAATATCATTCTCTTGTGCGATTTTTCAATTGAGCATTCAACGACTTTTGAGTTCTTTTAATTGTTTTTGTTAATGACGGTATCGACATCGGACACCAGTCATAGCCCAGTGAATTCTCACACAAGGACTAAAGGCATCCAGTCTCTGGCCGCTAGGGAAAATGGCTGAACGGTATGGACAATTCTTCAGGAATAATTTACGAAACACCGTGACACAATCCAGGCATTGAGATCTGTTTGAAAGTACATGTATTACAAAAAGTATGATCTAGCATATTTATGATATTGATGATCCATGTTCGGTCTTTTGTTAAAGATTTATAAAAAATGGACACATGTTGATGGGACAGGCGTCGTTCATTAAAACGTATCGGTAACCGTCGAAGCATGGATAGTGGGAAGGTCGTTATTGACAGTTGGTAAAATTGCAAAGAGAAAAATGCATTTCAGTTATCAATTATCCACTAGAGTAACATTCAGGGTGAAATGATTGGCCAACTGCCAGTTGAAAGCGCCATTACCCGGTAGACTCCAAGTCCTCCGTGGGTAAGATAGCAGGCTTATAAATATCCCTTAGATACATAAACTTAGCCTCGCAATCCTCCGTCGCACTAGTTCACTGTCACTCTGTTTCGTAAGGTGCAATAAATAGCAGGACAACGAATGACGCTCATTTGCAAGTCAACGCAATTTAACCCTAGAAGTACATAAAACGTAGAGTAGAAACGCTTTGTACGTTTCTGATCATGAATATGGAATTTTTAACTGAATTCATTCACGGGACACGTTTCAAGATGGATACTAAGGGAATCGTCGAGTGACGGAATACGGTTAATGGATTCGATTTCACGTACGAAGATTCAGATTTAAATTCAAAGATTGATTTGCTTCGTGTTGTCATTGAAAAAGTCTTATCGTGCAGTTTCACGCCTCAAGGTACAGTTAGCCCCGGGGCATGTATTGTGCTATAGTATGTATCAACACGTAGATCTATAGTTAGTGGGATACGTAGACTCGCTTATAGTCGCGTTCATAAAGTCGCGTAGTAGAGGGTAGCGACTAGGTCGTTAGACACCAGTTGGATTTCCGTCGCGAAAACTTTCATAAAATTCTCATGAAAAACGATAATAATCTTGATGCATTACGAGTTTATTGCATTTCTTTGGAAATGGAAGATTTTTCATGGAGCTGTGTGGAAACTTGACGTTTAGACGAGTGACAGCCAATTTTGACTCTCGTAGTTCCCATGCGCGTCAATACTGTGACGATTAGTCTCGTGAATTGTTGTTCTACGTTTTATGAAATAATTATTGATATAACGATCGAAGCAGCTGCATCGCGATGGATACGTACGGCGTGTTTCACCAAGTCAATTACAGTCGGTTTCAATATTTTTTGAAACTGTCAAAGGCGCGTGGCCGTCAATAAAACGTGAGACGAGTGGCGGGAACGCCATGAATGGAAGTTAAATAGATCGTCAAGTTAACATAGATAGAGTCCAACTACCTTAAATTGACATTAGTCTTTGGTCGTAACAATTCGAAAAGTAAATGGGCAACTCCACCATGATAGCAAACGTATCACGATAACTCACGACTATCGCATGTAATATTCATGGGGATTCATGGACGGATACCCGCCGTGATCGAATAGTTCGTTGCACGATACAGTTTGAATTTAGCTTGAATTGGGCTTTTTCGTTTCCACAATGACTCTTTATTGAGACTGTAGCGGGAGCTTGCCTAAAAGGTAGGTGGTTTACGTATATGTATATTAAATGCAGGTGCGTTTGTGCGTAACTGCTACAACCAGCGACGGTTGGTTATTTTCTGAATGACGCAATAGGTATCTTGTTGTAGGAAGTAGTTGTAGATGGCGTCACAGGCAGCTTGGCAGGAAGTTGGGTCTGACAAAATACTTTGCGGACGAATAATCACGGAGAATAGAGTGTAAGGGAGTGTGTGATCAAAGGGTTAGGTTGGTAGAAGCGGCATATTGGGCGCTTTGGGAAGTAGGGTTCTCGACGACGTCGACGACGACGACCGTGCGCGCGGATAGAGGAGAAGCGTCGTCGAGCTTGCGACATACTTGCCAAGTCTACGGATAACGAGGATACGAGAAAAGACCATTTTTCGGCCTGGACAATTTATTAAGAATTGCTGAATTTCCGTGTTTTCTTTGTAGGACATGTTATTTTCATACGTTGATGATAAATTCACATTGCAATTCACATTGCATCGTGTCCTGTCGTGGAGGTGAATATGTAAACGGGAGGGCTGTTACTTCTTTCACTCCCACTTTTTCTACTAATGGCAGAACTCTCATTGGAGTCATTGGTCATTTACGTGCGTTTAAAGAGATATCAATGTGTTTGCAGGTTATGTGGAATCTATCTAAATAGCTATAGGA